TATATGTATGTGTGTATGTATGTATGTATGTATGTGTGTATATATAAGAGAGAGTCAGAGAGAGAGCGAGAGAGAAAGAGAGAGAGAGAGAGAAAGAGAGAGAGAGAGAAAGAGAGAGAGAGAGAGAGAACGAGAGAGAGAGAGAGAGAACAACAAACAAGAGAGAGAGAGAGGGGTGGAGAGAAAGAAACAACAACACAAACACACGAAACAAGAAACAAACACACACATATGTATATGTATATGCATATACATATATATAAAAAAGAAAGAGAGAGAGAGAGAGAGAGACAACAACAAAACAACAAAAAAACAAACAAGAGAGAGAGAGAGAGAATGAGAAATAGTAAGAGAGAGGAAGAGAAAGAGAGAGAGAGAGACACGGAGAGAAAGAGCGAGAGAGAGAGAGAGAGCGAGAGAACAGCATAAGCAAAAAGAAAGAGAGAAAGCGAGAGAGAGAGAGAGAAATAAAGACAGACATAGACATAAACATAGACAGAGACAGAGAGGGATAGAAAGAGAGAGAGGGAGAGAAACGGAACAACGGATAGTCCATATATATATAGATACATGTATGTACGGATGTACGTTTGCATGTATATATAGCTATCTTTATAAATATATGAGAAAAGAGAGAGAGAGAGTTCGAAAAAAACACACACACACAATTATTGAGAAAGAGAAAGAGTAAGAGAAAAAGAGAGAGAGAGAGAGAGAAACAAATAAATCTATATATAATGGAACCACGCGCGCTTCGCGCGCGCTTAGGTTCTAGCTAGGAGGCGAGCTTGAGTCAACGAAAGTCGCAGGGAAGGGGGCAGGGGGAAGAAGGCCAGAGAGCGCTGAAGGATACAAATACTGGAACCCTCTTGTGATTTTGTGGGGGGCCTCGTCCGGCCGCTCGCTGGGAGTTTGACGTAGCTTCTCGGGAGCCTCTGAACCTGTCGGGGGCCTCCTGGAAGCAGGTTCGAAGCATTTTGGGGGCCGATTTGGGGCTTCTCGGGGCCTCCTTTGGGCCTCTTGGGGGTCTCCTGGGGCCTCTTGAGGGGCCTCCTTGGGGCCTCCTGGCGGCCTCTTGGGGCGGAAGGCTCGAGCTTGCGGTTCGTGGTCCCCCTCTGGGCCCCCTCTTGGGCCCGTCTTGGGGCCCTCTTGGGCCATCTTGGGCGCCTCTTGGGCCGTCTTGGGGCCCTCTTGGGCTGTCCTGGGGCCCTCTTGGAAGCTTCTTGGGCCGTCTTGGGGCGGTCTTGGGCGCCTCTTGGGCCGTCTTGGACGCGGTGAAAGCCCAAGAGGCGAACATGCGAGAAATATACGTTTTCCCATAGGAACGGCACGATGTTTGCTTCTCGGGCCTCTCTTGGGCTGCCTATCGGAGCGTTTTGGAGGCTTCTGGGACCTTGTTGGTGTCATGACAGGCGTCTTGGAAGGCATCTGGAGCCATCGGAGCGCGTTCCGAAGCCGCCTGCGAACGATCTTGGACGGCGCCCGGCGGTCCGACGAGCCTCCGGGCCCCCCGGGGCCCACATTTGTGGTCGGGGTCCCGGCCCCGGGCCCCCGGACCCGGTGCGCCGTTATATGTACAAGTGGACAGGCAGCTCAGAATGGCCTGATTGAAGACGCTCGAAATCCTCAAGACACTTCATCAGCGCAAGTACGGCCTGAAAATGGACCAAAAGGATGAGGGTGAAAACTCGTTCGTGGAGGCAGGCGATGTGGACCGCGAAACCATGTACACCCACAGATACGGCGCAAAACCACGCGGCGCGCAGAATTGGCGTTGCGAAATCACGCGTTGCAAACCAGAGCGCAAGCGCAAGCACAAACCACGTGCGCAAAATTCGCGTTGCGAAAGCACGGATGTGCCCTCAAAGTTCTTCTCGGGGCCCCGGGCAAGAAGATTCAGCTACGGGCGGCGCTTGCTTTGAGCACCACCAGGGCCCGAGGCCCAGGATCTCGCGGCGCTCGGTCATCGGCCGCGCCCGGTCAGTGTGCCCCGGGGCTGATCAGGACTCCGAGGCCATGATCGGGGCGCCCTGGCCCTCCCCTGCGGCCTCGTTCGCGGAGACACCCACCAGCTCGGAGGGGGCGCCACAGCGCCTGAAGGCCAATGCGGCACCTGCGAGCACCGCGGCTCCCCCGATCGCTCCCAGGCCGATCGTCGCAACGCTCGCGAGAGACCGCTGCCCTGCCAACGGCAGGCCGTCCATCACGGAGTACAGCCTGGTTTTCTTGGTGTCATGATTCCCGTCGCCGAGGGCGCACTTCTCCTCGCCGTCCTTGCAGTGGGGGCGCTCCTTGTACAGGTCGCCGAGCGCCTGCTCACAGATCAGGTCCTTCACTGCATCTGGGTCGCTGGAATCGGTTGCGAAGACCTCCTTGGCCTCCTTCCCATCGCGGGCGTTCGAAATAACCTGGACCCTATTCCTGTACCAGAGGCAACAAGAGTCCGATTCGCCGCACTTCGAGTTCTCATCCTTTTTCCGCCAGCATCCGATGTCACAGCTGACGGGGCCGACAGAATCCCACCAGGTGAAGATTTCTCCACACCCGGGGGCATCAGCGGTGGCCTGCAGGAGTGCGGCGGCCGCGAGCACCAGGCGGGCCATCGCGGTAGGGGGTTCGGGCCGACTGAAGCAAGGAAACCGCGGCCTGCGCCGGCGGGGGCGGGCTGAACCAAAGCGTCTTGAGCTCAAATGGCTAAGGAAGGAGGATACCGATTGTTTGGAGAATGCGGACGGCACAAAGTGGCAAGCGGTGATAAGTTAAGGCGTGCCGAAGAGGTTGGGAGAGAGGTTTGGAGAGCAGTAGAGCCCACTCCATGCGAGATCGAGCTGGAAGAGCAGGGGCCCAGGGCCTGCGAGGTGAGGCATCCGGGCAGTCTATATGTATATATGGTAACGGCAGCGGCGGAGGATGGCGATGACGAGTTATTCAATCGCTTCGCTCATTCCGCCGGCCCTGGAGCGCTATTTGGGGCCTCTTGGGACCGTCTTGGGGGCTTCTTGGGGACTTCTTGGGAGCGTCTTGGGGCTCCTTGGCGGCGTATTGGGCTCACCTGGGGCCTATTGGGGGGCTCTTGGGGGCCCCTTGGGGCGGGAGGGGGGGTAGTCGTTGGCAGCCCCCCCCTCGGAGGCCACGATTCTCGTGAGGGGTGGCGAAAAATAGCCTCCCCCCTGGGGATGTCTGGTTATTCAATGGCTTCGCTCACTCCGCTGGCCCGTATTGCATGATCGCTACTGCTTCGGCGCGGGCTCGGGGCTATTTCGGCGCCGCCGGAAGGAGGAAGATGAGGATGGGGAGGGGGAGGGGAGGAGGAGAAGAGGATGAGAAGGAACGGAGGAGGATGAAGATAAATATGAGGAGGAGGAGGAGGAGGAGGAGGAGGAGGAGGAGGAGGAGGAGGAAGAGAAAAGGGCGGAGGAGGAAGCCTCTCGATGGCATCTTGCGGCGCTCTTGGGGCCAAACAGGGCCGTCGTCCAGATGCTTCTTTGGAGGGCCCTGGGGTCTGTTGAGAGGCCGTTCGGGGGCGCCTGGGAGACATTTTTGAAGCCTTGTAGGCCCTCTGTTGAGCCTCTTTGGAGCCTCCTGGGATCTCTTGGGGGCCTCTTGGCGACATCTTGGGCCATCTTGGGGGCCTCTCGGGGCCTCCTGGGGCCCTCTTGGGGCGGAAGGCTTGAGGTTTCGGTTCATGGTCCCCATCTTGGGCCCCTCTTGGGGCCGTCTTGGGGCTCTCTTGGGCCGTCTTGGGCGTCTCTTGGGCAATCTCGGGGCCCGTTTGGGCTCTCTGGGGGCCTTCTTGGGGGCCTCTTGAGTCGTCTTCGTGCGCTCTTGGGGGCCTCTTGGGCCGTCTTGGAGCATCGGTAAGCCGAAAATGCGACAAGGCCAAAATCCTTCCAAAACCATCGTAAAATTAATGATTTTGGCCTCTCGGGGCGCTCTTGTGAGGCCTCTTGGAGGCCATTTGGAGCGTCTAGGCGGCTTCTTGGGCCGTCTTGGGATCATCTTCGGCGTCTTGGAGCGTCCTTTAGGCGTCTCGGGGGGCCTCTTGGGCAGTCTTGGGGGCCTCTTGGGGCCCTCTTGGCGCGCTCTGGGGGGCCTGAGAGGCCGTACCCAGGAGGAAACCATCTCTGAGTAGACCTTCCCGGGACCTTCCCGGGACCTTCCCGGGACTTTCCCGGGACTTTCCCGGGCTGCGGTCGGGGTACTTTTCGCCGGGGGACCCCCAGGGGCCGCCCCGCGCGCCCGAACTAGAAGAATTGTGAACCAGTTACCGGAGATCTTAGCACGCCTCTGGCCCGTTGGGCTGGCGAATTTCGCAACTGTCTTCAAAGCTTGACTGTCGGCCGCAACTGAACATAGTGACTACGAGATGTTCCGTCACAACGGCATGGCAATGCTGGAACCCGCTCTAGAAAGAGGAAGAGGGAGCGAGCCAAAAAAAGGGAGTGCAGTCTGGGCGAACCCGTACTGCACAACATCCACCCTCAATGCCGAGCTGTGCAAATGACGCGAGAGGACTACGCAGTCCGAGGAGGACGAGAGTCATCAAAGCGCTGCTCTTCCAGGCGATGGCCGTGCATTTTAGGAGGGTGCTGTTCGTAAGGTTCGCGATGCAGTTCGTGCTGATCGCCGGTTCCCCAGGCAGTTCGTGCTGTTCATAAGGATCGCCATGCAGTTCACCTTGGCGCTTAGCCCTCTAGCTTCGCGCCACACGGAGCTGTCGCAGCAGACCATATTGGGGAGGCCACCACCGCTCCCTGTCTCCCGAGATGCGCTGGCTGGTTGAAGGTGGATCGATCAGTCGTGCTGGTCCCACCTTCCTCTCATTCTCCCCCCCCTTCTCTCCTGATGTGCCTGCATGCCCTCAGAGCTCTCTGCTCTCCCTGTCTGGCCTGCGCGTTGTTGCAGGTCTCTGCTAACGCTGCAGTTGCACCGCCTTCACAGCATGCAAAAGAGAGGAGGGACACGCGGATCGAGGAGGCGTCTCTGGGGGGGGGGGGCGCCTGGGACCTGTCCTCGGCCACCCGGCGCAGGGCGCTGAAAATTTCCCTCGTCACGCTCTCCGCGGGCCCCTGCGGTGTCGAGGTGAAGGGGGTGGAGGGGGGCGACCAAACAGGCACTCGGAATTCCTGCTCCTCCATATCCTCTTCCGTCATCGTCGTCGTCATCATCCTCCACGTGCTCGTCGTCCTCGTCGTCGTCGACGTCGCCGTTATCGTCATCGTCATCGTCATCGTCGTCGTCGTTGTCGTAATCCCCATCGTCCTCATCGTCATCGTCGTCGCCGTCATCCTCCTCGCCGCTTGCGTCTACGTCGTCATCGCCGCCATCGTCATCGCCGACGTCGTCGCCGACGCCGCCGTCGTGGTCGTCTCGGTCGTTGACGTCGCCGTCATCGCCGCCGCCCCGCGAGGGCCCCGCTGGACGGTCTAGCCGAGAGCGACGAGGAGGATATCGACGATCGAAGCTTGATGATTTTCACTGGTTCCTAGTGGGGTTGTTGTTGCTGTTGTACGCGGCCACCCACAACAATTCCTGTTACTCCTCTCCTTTTCCCTATCCCAGAATGCCCTGTTCATTACCCTGGATCGTGCCGTTCTGGCTCCACGAATCGCATCAAGGGCGTTCCAACGCAATTTGCCCATCCAGGGTGCCCCCGCCTGACCCGCCACCATCGCGCTTGCTCCATCCAGGGGGACCGCGCCAGACCGCGCCCGCTGGGCGAACACCACGCACTTTGTTTCATATCGCACCCTGTCCAGGAGAGCCCCGACAAACAACGCCCGCCATCGGGACGACTTGATCTCTGCCAGGGATCGCGCCGCGATCTTCCCGCCCCACCAGCCGCGCCAGCGCCGTTCGCTCGGGCGCGCGGGGACTCGTCCACTTGTCGAGCTGCGTTCCGCCACCGCGCGAAGTTACAGTAAGTTCAACATGTAGCGATCGGGCGCGGGGAGAAAATGGCGGAGCCAAAGGTGACATCAAAAAATACTTGCTGGCAAGGAGCCGGGCCCCAGCAACGCGACGACCTGCCAGCGCCAGCGTCTGGCTGCATGACGTGGCTACGCGTCCGGAGGTACTTGTTGAACCGCTGGCCGTTGTCAGCAAATGGTCGAACACCCTCGCACTCATGGCCGCGATGTGGTCGGCCAGGCCTGCTCGCGGACAGGGCGCCCCAGCGGTCCGCCAGCACGGCGAGGTGGGCATGCACGTCGAATTGCGGGAGCGGTTCGATCTCGCCTTCGTCGACCGGGTCGATCGGGCCATCTTACCCTGCGTGGCTTTGAGCCTGAGCCGATGCCAGCTCTGCCGAGGAAGCGTCGCCGGCCGGCCCGCGCCTCGACGTCCACCAAAGTATCTGCGCGGCCAGGCCGTGGCGGATACCCCCCTCCGGAGCAGGTCCAGGCTCGCCTTCTGGACGACCAAAGCTACTAGCTGCCCAGGGTGGCCTCGCGCAGCGCGGCCCTGAACCAGATGGCTGGGATCGCAGCCAAAGTCCGCAGCCTGGGGCGTAAACGCCGCGAATCCACCTGACTGTGGCGTCCTGACAGTCCCAAGTCGTGGCAGAACAACATTCCTGGGACGTCAACGCCACGAACGAACGTGACTGTTACACCCTGGCAACCCTCAATCGCACCAAAACCCCATTTTTGTGACTCCAACCATACGAACCAAAACTGTTGCAACGCTTTCGAACGGGAGTGCGCGGCGCTACAGCAAGAGCCACACTATGCACCTCCGCCGAACGCAACCTCCAGCACACCCCCGACGTCCTGCACCACATTTGCCCGGGCGCGCGCAGCAGCCAAATCCACCCATCCGGCGGCCTGCTCTGGCGCCGGGAGCAAGGTCACCATGACCAGTCGGGCCCCTCTGGAACGAAAGAGATGGCTACAGACAGAACATTTGCGGCATCAATACTATTCGCACTATCACAAGAAATATCCAACATAAGCTAACTCTCCCCAAACAGTGATTGTATTTACGGGTTCTTGTTTGGCTTAACCATCTCGGGGTGAGCGGCAGTTTTTGCGGGCGGTGCCGCCCGTCGCTGCCGTCTTTGTCGCCGTCGCCGTCGCTGCCCCTCGGGGCGAGTGGCGATTGTTACAGGCGGTGCAGCACGTCGCCGACGTCGCCGTCGCAAAAAAATCGCCGGCCCAACGGGCCAGAGGCGCGCTAAGATCTCCGGTAACTGGTTCACAATTCTTCTGGTTCGGGCGCGCGGGGCGGCCCCTGGGGGTCCCCTGGCGAAAAGTACCCCGACCGAAGCCCGGGAAAGTCCCGGGAAGGTCCCGGGAAGGTCTACTCAGAGATGGTTTTCCTCCTGGGTACGGCCTCTCAGGCCCCCCAGAGCGCGCCAAGAGGGCCCCAAGAGGCCACCAAGACTGCCCAAGAGGCCCCCGAGACGCCCAAAGGACGCTCCAAGACGCCGAAGATGATCCCAAGACGGCCCAAGAAGCCGCCAAGACGCTCCAAGTGGCCTCCAAGAGGCTTCACAAGAGCGGCCCGAGAGGCCAAAATCATAAATTTTACAATGGTTCTGAAGGATTTTGGCCTTGTCGCATTTTCGGTTTTCCGATGCTCCAAGACGGCCCAAGAGGCCCCCAAGAGCGCACGAAGACGGCTCAAGAGGCCCCCAAGAAGGCCCCCAGAGAGCCCAAACGGGCCCCAAGACGGCCCAAGAGACGCCCAAGACGGCCCAAGAGAGCCCCAAGACGGCCCCAAGAGGGGCCCAAGACGGGGAGCACGAACCGAAACCTCAAGCCTTCCGCCCCAAGAGGGCCCCAGGAGGCCCCGAAAGGCCCCCAAGATGGCCCAAGATGCCGCCAAGAGGCCCCCAAGAGACCCCAGGAGGCTCCAAAGAGGCTGAAAAGAGGCCCTGCAAGGCTTCAATCCCCGGCGCCCCCGAACGGCCTCTCAACAGACCCCAGGGCCTCCCAAAGAAAAACCTGGACGACGGCCCTGTTTGGCCCCAAGAGCGCCGCAAGATGCATTCGAGAGGTTTCCTCTTCCGTTCATTATCATCCTCTTTTCCTCCTCCCCTCCCCCTCCCCATCCTCATCTTCCTCCTTCCGGCGGCGCCGAAATTGCCCCGAGCCCGCGCCGAAGCAGTAGCGATCATGCAATACGGGCCGGCGGAATGATCGAAGCGATTGAATATCATATGTATGTATATATACACACACCTACATACATACATACATACATACATACAAACAAACATACATACATACATACATACATGCATGCATGCATGCATGCATGCATGCGTGCATACATACATACATACATACATACATACATACATACATACATACATACATACATTACATGCATACATACATACGTACATATATACATGCATATGTATATATGCATACATACATGAAAACATACATAAATATACATACATACATACATACATACATACATACATACAGACATGCATACGTACATACATACATACAAATACACACATACACTGCAACTCTCTATGTTTTCCGGGGCGCTGCAATGTACATGTGATGATTTGTGATTGCTCATCCCAGCTAGTCCCACTATTGGGCCCCCTCTCATCCCTGTCGAATAAGATAATACCATGCGGTGCACATGCGCTGATTTCAGATGAGCTGAACGCACGAATCCCGATGCGATAATACGATGCGGGCCACACGCGCGCGCAACACGAATCCTTCCAAAATTATTGTTCTCGTGGCGGCTTCCCCGTAAAAACATCAAAAAACAAATGGGAGATTCATCCAAAAATATCAGCCCGCGCGCTCTCGCAGGTCCCCGGGAGATCCTACGTGGTTTTCAACGTTCCTGTCCAAGGAGGCCTTCGCGCGCGCATGTCGAACTTGTTCCTATGCCCTCGCGCGCTTGCTAGATGCGCGATCCCTGTCGAATAATACGCGCGGGGCACCGTCATCGTCATCATTGCCGTCGGAAGCGCAGCGATCATTCTCATCGTCGTTTGTCGACGCCGTCGCCCGCGCTGTCTCCTGCAAGATGGACTCTGCCCGCGAACGTCCGCGCGCCAATGAACTCGATGTAATTATCGGAAGAGCTCCACGCTGCAACTGTACTCGCGACCTGATGAATGATGCCAACCACCTCATCGTCGTTCGTCGACGCCGTCGTCCGCGCTGTCTCCCGCATGATGGACTTTGCCCGCGAGCGTCCGCACCGCGAGGGTCCGCGCGCCAGTGAGCTCGATGAACTTGCAAAGGAGCCCCACGCTGCAACTGCAGTCGCCTCATAAGTTCTGCCGACCAACATGCGGGTGGGAGGGTGGGATGTTCGCACAAGCATGGGAGGCGGCGGTCAGTTCTCCTCACTGAGAAACAAAATAGACTCGATCCGCCCCCCCCGCCCCCTCACGCTTTATCGGCACACCATTTCGCCCTGCAAATTGCATATGATTATCCCCCCATCGTCTATCCTGATTATGAACCATACCACCCCAGCCGAGCTGGGTTCGACCCCCCCCACACCATCCTCTGCCAAAAATACGACAAGCGCACACTCGTTCATGAAGAATCATCAGTTTTCAGACACCCGCTGCAAAAGACAAGACGAAGTGCACACGCGCGCGTCGTCGCGCGCGCATGCCTAAATCCTTATAAAAACGTCGGTTCGGAAGGAATTCAAAATCGAGCGCCCCAAAAACATGCACAAAAAAACATGGTTTCGAAACACGGATTCTTCCCAACACAAATAAGGGCTTTTGCAAATTCGTAAGAAAACCATTGAACTTTCAACATTTGCAGAAAATACGATCAAACGCGCGCACGCACGTAGAAATCGTTCGAACGCCTCTCCGCGCGCGCCGCCGCGAGAATCCACGCTCGCGCGCGTCGCCGCGCGCGCGCGCGCCGAAATCCTTCAAAAACCTTCGGTTCCACAACGACGTCAAAACCGACTGCCCCAAAAGAACACTCGAAAACACATGGTTGCGCAAAATCGGTTCTCGAAAAAGTTTGCGCGCGCACTCTTGAACCCTCGAGAAAACCAATCAGGTTATTCAATATCTTCATGGACTTCCGCCAAACGGGCCTCTGGCGCGGCATGC